TATATATATATATATATATATATATATATATATATATATATGAGCAATATGGAGGAACTTGGTACCAAGCATAAGTTTTTGTGCTTGGTAGTAAAGTGGCTCATTCCCATAAATACACTCAAATTGATGACCACATTCACATGATTTGGAGAGTGGATGAGAATGAGACACCTCACTACCAAACACAAAATTTGTACTTAGTACCATCTTTCATGGCTTTTTCAAATAAAAAAACAACATTGTTGATAAACATAAATGCATTTAATTTCATTCATAAAGTTCGTGCATAGGTACATTTAATAAGCAGTTGACCGATTAGCCAACCTTATTTTATAATCAAACTCAAATCAAACATAAAACATTCACATAACCAAATCCCATATTTTTCCTATTCAAGACCTACAACAACTTCAACTAATCATCTTTCTTCATCCTACGGGCATTTGTGCACTCCTCCATGAGTAGTCATGGTTGCATAGCACGGACATGAATCTTCATTTCCGTAAGTTCCCTTAGGCACGCAATTGCATCTTGCACAACAAGTCCCGCAAGCTCTCTTGCAGAGATTTGGCCTCGATGATTTGCTGCATCTTATCGCGCATAGTCCTCCGCAATCTGAAAATTCAAAATAAATTTTCAGTATGATTAATTGCATATATATATTCTCTCTCATTAGTTGTACAATACTACTGGTAATAGAGTTGAGGGACGTACTTATGCCAGCAGAAGCTCCTAGCCCTTTGCTCATCAACTGCGAAATATTCAACTTCAGTTATACATCAATAACGAAGACTAGTAAGGATCTGTAGTAGAAATGACAGAAAACATCCCTGATGTCTCTTCAACTTTTAGTCAAATAATCGTCATTGTTTATGTAACCGTTAATGATCGTTTACATATTTATATGTGTCTTTTTAGTCCTTCAAAGAAATAACATGCACATACCTTTTGGGACTCAAGAACCCTATGTGCATCGACAACATAGCTAGCGAGCACAATCAAGAGAAGGGAGGCAAGAAGAAAGCGAGAAGAAGCCATCGGAGAGAAGTAAATCAAAGATTAAGAGAGTAGTTAAGGAGTTTCTCTATTGTCTTCTGGTGATGTGAAATTCAGTGCAAAGGAGCTTCTCTATTTATAGGAGAAGGAAGTTGTGTATGTTAGTGATAAGGAAGATGCATGCATGGTTGGTCCAATATGAGAGCATGAGTAAGCTGACCAGAATGTTGTTAGCTACCAAATTTGGCATCGAAAGGAGTCAGCAAAGATATGCTATCTTTTAAAATAGTTTCCTATTTTGTGTCACACCAAAATAGGTTAGGGTCTTGTTACTCTTACCTTCTCCCCTCTCTATTTATGGAAGTTTAACATATCTTGTGCGCTCATTAATCATTGGGTCAATGCTTAAGCTATTGAAGTGTTAACAACTCCATTAATGTACGACATAAAGGAAAGATCATTTAATGTCCCTATAAGTATGGTTAAATGATTGGAGGATATGGAAGTGGGAACTTTTGTTCAAGAATCAAAAGGAGAGAAGACTACGAGCTGGAACGAGAGTGAAATATTTGTTTCTTGTAAAGGGGATCCATGGTACGACGATTCAAGCGAATTATCTTTTGAATTATAAAGTTAAGTGACATAAAATAAGAAGAATTGAACATTAATCTATTTGATTTTTCATCTCTAAAGAGATGTCTAGCTCTGCTGAAACTAACTTGCGTATATGGTCTAGTAGCATGTTCCTACGCTTCAAATTGCATGGCAGGAGAATCACTAAAGGCGCGTTTGGTTGTAAAAGCCCCTTGGTGAAAGCCTGACAAAAAGGTAAGTTTTTGTCAGCTTTCAGCCTAAAACGCCACTCAAAGAGACGTCGTTAGCTGAAAGCTGACAAAAAAAGCTCTTTTTGTCAGTAAAACATGTGCTTTTGTCAGGCTTTCACCAAGCCTATTTTACAACCAAACGGACCCTAAAGGCTTGTTTGGATTAGGGGTAATGAGAGGTAGGAAAAGTTATGGACACTTTATCCTTATTTGGCACGTGCTATCACTTCCTACCTCACCACGCCCCCAGCCTTCCCAAGAGCAAAAGCGCCCAAAGCTTTCCTTTCTCTATTACAAGTCTCTGGCGCTGAGAAGCCAGGAGATGAGAACAACGCGGATAGCTGGGGTTAAAAATGACGGACGTGATTGACTGCCCACCAAACTTAGCCCCGAAAACGAGAGAAGTGTGTGATGCATTCGATGCCACTTCAACATCTCGCCAGCTTTTGTGGCTCTCTGTAACTCCTCGAGGAACCAAGCAGAAAAATAAATAAAACAGTGAAAACAAATGATCGAAGACGCCGCCTCAGCCACCCGGTCCAGTTTCGGCCACCCTGGACCAATTCCTGACGCCCCATCACCTTTTGGGGTGGTTACAACACTAAACAGTTACTAGATTGTTACATCTTAGGCTTGCAATGTACGCTTCCGGTTTCCCTACACTTGTAAAATACTCTCTCTCTTATAATATATTATATATATATACATTATATATATACTATATATATATATATAATATATATATATATATATATCAAATTCTCTCTCTCTAGACTTTGCCTATAAATTGAGTCTCTCAGTAGCTGCCCTTTTGAGTTCATCACATAAGCTCGTATAGAATTCAGAGTGTTACTTGGTTTGGGATAATGGTTTCGTCTAAGATTTTCCTTGCTTCTCTTCTCTTGTTCGTGATTGCGATGCATGTTGAGTCTCACCGTCTGCTTGAATCCACCAAGGTATATATATTATTATTATTGCATCTCATGCTAACAAGATGAATGCTAGTTAAGCATATTGCGATGCATGTTAAGCTCAACACTACCCTTGTTCTATATTAATGCTAGTTCAGCATATTTCCCTCCAAAAAAACATAAAATTAACAATAAAAATAAAATACTAGTTCAGCATATTAACTCCTTTCTATTTTTATAGATGTCAGAGCAAACAGTTGAAGCCTCGCTTGTGAACGAGTCTGCAGCAGCAACCGGGATAGGTAAATCTCCTCACCTGCGAACTCATACCAGACCGACAAAATACTACTATATCTACATATAAGAGTATAAATAAACTAACAAAATCTCTACCACTTCTATCAACAGACTGCAAGGGACTGTGTGCCGTAAGGTGCAGCAAGTCCTCGAGGCCGAACCTCTGCCACAGAGCTTGCGGGACTTGCTGTTTCAGGTGCAACTGCGTGCCTCCGGGCACCTACGGTAACTACGACTCATGCCCGTGCTATGCCACCATGACCACCCGAGGTGGAGCTCGGAAGTGTCCTTAACAGGTGGGAATAGGAGAGGGGGGGTGTCGGAGTTGGCGTACGTATGTAGAATGTGTTGAATAAAAGGGAGGATTTGTGCTTGTGTATGTGCTCTGGTGTGCCAGAGTTTCGGGCCGGTGCAGGTTTGTTATTCTGTATGTAATATGTAACAGTTTGAGAGAGAGAGAGAGAGAGAGAGAGGGTACAGGTTTGGAATGAATGTATATTGATTAAAAGTTGGAAGTGTGTAAATATTGTTCCTACGGTCTGTTATGCCCAGTGCAACGAGTTACGATGAAGTTAATGCTCGACTGAACACAACATGATCTACCTAGTACACACAAGGAGTCTATCTACCATAAATCCTTAGCGGCGTTCAATCAGGGGGTTCATCGATCTACCGAAAACTTCGGGTAGTAAGTGGCACAACCTGATAGCACAGGGCGATAACTCGATTATGTATTATACTTGGATAATAGTAATATTTAAGCCTTTGTTTGCTCACATAACAAAAGGAAAATGTTTGCATAGAGCTGGAATCATTTTAAACTTGGAGGGTGGAGAGATGGGGTAAAAGATGAAATGAAACACAACTAGAACAGCCAGCCCAGTACACGAAGCTCCCGCTATATGCAGGGTCCGGGAAGGAGCCAGACCACCTCAGATCTATTATATGTAGTGGGACCTTGCGTGTTTGGCTCGTTCGATGATTCAAACCTGTCAGTGGCGGAGCCACACAGGGCTTGCCCTGGGCAACTGCCCAGGACAAGAATTTCACAAAAACCCAATGTTTCTCCCTCCCTCCCACCCTCCAGCTGTCCCCAAGCCTACCACCCTCAACATCAAAACTAGTCACTATTGGAAAAAAAAAAACTACAAATATAAAACATAGAAAAACCTAAGAGACCAAAAAAAAGAATCCGACTTTCTTCTTCCTCTTCCTCCAATCTCTGAACCATGGATGACTACAGCAGATCAAGATCCTACAGTGATGACAGGAGCATGCAGATTGAAGTCTATGGCTCCACCAACAGGAGAGGAGGCGGCCCAGCCCCTTCTTATGATTTTAGGAGCCATAGCACTTATGCTTCTTCTTCCTCCTCTGTTTACAACAACAACTATGGGATACAACCCCCAAGAGAGTTAAAGATGAAGAAAGCAAAGAGAGTGCAGGGAGGGATCCTGCTGAGCCCATCAGCCCTCGGCCGCAGCCACAGATTTCTTGACAATGTGTTCCCCAAACGCAGCCTGATGGTACTCGACACAATCGCCAACATCTGCCTCCTCTATTTCCTCTTACTCGACACAATCTCTTTATTTTTCGCCCAGGGTAAAAAATAATCCTGGCTACGCCACTGAAACTTACGACGACCAAGTTTTTCAGTAACAACTCCAACCATGGCACGGGGGCTCCCCTTCGTCATTTACTTAACGAGATGAATACAATTTTAACGGATCTTAATTATTCAAATATCACTGAACACCGTGATCAGGAGAATGATGGATGGGAGCCAAATTCACTTTAGGCGTATCATCTGCGTGCATGGTACGTGGTATTGTTTCAACTCACAACGCTCTTTAAAACAAAAGACTAGATGGAACTCAGAAACAATCACTGCGGTCGCCCCTTCATCTGAGCTCCCACATACTATAATATCCAAACAATAAATAGATTCATAATCAAACCCTCTTAAGGATCAGTTTAATTGTGGAATTGACCCTCAAACTCGTTTATGCTTTTATTGATATTGTAACTAGAGAACAACAAAGCACACACAGCATTTGCAAATCGCAACATATTAACTCACGTTATGTTTGAATCTCACCGCAGCATTGCGGTCAGCGGCTTGATAAAAACGGCTGATCTAAAAACCAAAATGCTTCGTTGAGATTGTGACGGTGGTAAATCCAAATTTCACCTTCAACCTTTCAGCTTGATGCATTCCTCCCTGGGTGAACTTTCAATATGGGAAACAACTTTATCTTTAGCAGCTTTGTAAGCAAGAGTTTACTTGACAACAATAATATAATTAGGATTTCAAACATCAAGCATAAACAAAAAAAAGGGGAGAAGAGACAGAGACACTCAATAACAGAGAATGCATGTGTCGACATTACTTGCACTGGGGAGGGGCATAATGTACAATGAACCAAGAAGCCAAAGCGGTGCCATTAGCACAGAGGCAGAGGGAGAAAGACACATATGCAGGGATGGGAACATTTTGTGCGTGTGCCCATAAGTGAAGGCTTAAAAGAGTAACATGGCTGGTTTCATCTGTAAAGAACAGCTTTGAGTCCAACATCAGACTCGTGCTCGTAAGTCTCACAACATTAAACTTCACAGAGTCTAATCCTTCTCACCCGGAGGTCATTTGGTAGTTCTCAACCGTCTGAATTTGTTGCGACTGTCGTTTAGTCAAGGAATCCTATTTAGCTATTTTGAGCACTTATGCCTAGATTTGCATAATTGGGGGTCACTAGAACGCAAGTGAGTTATTCACAACTGTCATTTGGTAGTTCACAATTGTCGTCGTTCGTATGCAACTTAGTTCGTTGCGACATGCGACTGTAGTTTGCTGGGGCTTGCGACTGCCACTTAGTTACGGGGTCCTTTTAGCTATATTGAGCACTTATGCCTAGACTTTTGTTTAGTAGGAAACAACTAAAGGGTAATTACAACCATAGTTGTAACTGTCAGCATCTAGTGCAAGGATACAAACAGTCGCAACAGAAATGATCCACTCAGTAGGCTGCCAAACTGACCTTAAAATGATGGAGATATGTGAGGGATATAAATGAAGTGAAAACCAATAGAAATTTTAAATGATATAATGTTGGTTATAGTGAGAATGAAACATAACTAAATATTAATGGACAGTTATATACAACCAAATTCACTTTAAACGCGATATTAGCACGGTAATACTGTTTCAAGTGACGAACTCTTTTAAAGCAATACACGGAATGTAAACTCAAAAGAACCCGCTGCCAGTACTAAAGAGAGATGCAACATGAATATATCCAGACAACTGAAACATGCATGCTCAGACCCTCTACGTATCAGTGTAATCGTTCAAAACTCTCGTATAGATTATCAAACTTTAGGTATCAACATGCACACATCACAAACAGCAATTCACCCCCACCCCCCCCCCCCCCCCCACAAAATCTGCACGTTCCAAGAACCAAACTGATCTATTGAGATTGTGACAGTGGTAAATCATAAATTCACTTTCACCCTTTCAACTTGTTACATTTCAACTTGTTGCATTGTTTTCTTGGGTATACTCCAGTATGAAAAGTTAAAAGATTTACCAAAATTCAAGCATACAAGGACCTTAAACCTGTCAGCTGTGCTAGAGCCTGGAGCATAATATTCTAGATTCACGCAAAGGTAGAAGAGGCAAAAAAAAAAAGGAGCAAACAAAGGCACTCAATGACAGCGAATATTGAAGTTGCCGGCATTAAGACATCCACAAGGTGCAATGAACTCAGTAACCGAATCGGCACCCTTAATATGGAGAGAGATGCATATGCAGAGGACCGGAACATTCACATGTGAAATTTCATATTGGATGGCAGATATGCGGGATATATCAGAGGTAGTTAATAAACCCAGGGTGTCATATCAGATAGTGTGCGTAAAAAAAATTGTCCATACTTGATGCACCAAAGAATGGAGTTGTGGGGAAAGGTCTCAATTGAACCCCATTCTTGTTTACCGAGAAGCCCATCAAGAAAAAAAAAACAAGGTTCCTTTTAAGCGAGCAAAATTTCATGTATCATCAAATGGGCAATTGACAACAAACTAACAACTCGTGTGATGAAAGTTGGTTAGAAAGGTACAAGTCTCTTTCTATTGGTAACAGACATTAGATAGCTCGATTGGGTCTAACTATCTAACTACAACCAATACATGAATTATGTTGCTCACAGTTCCTTCAACTTGCACAATTCATATTAAAAGAATGTGATCCCACAATAAAAAATACTTACAGCCCTAGAATTTCTCCTCCTTTGCTATATACCTATTTTTTTCATAAATCCAAATAGCTTATCAGGATGATATCCAAGAAAATCAAAGATAGGAAAACCAAATGATAAAAGCAAGGCGACTCCCAAGTAGAAGAAAGAGGAAGGTACTGAGCCATTACGAGTACACCAGTTACTTATGATATAGCTTTCGGTCGTCCATATAGCTTTTGGTCATCCATCAACTTCACAATACTTCAAAATTTTAAAAAACCACCACAAAAAATCATCACATGTTATTAGAAACCTCACGCACAAACTCTTGAAAAAAAAGTCAGTGACTTAACGAGCACTATAATAAACAAAATAATTATTTGGATTGTTTATGGGGTAAAATTAAAGAAAGAAAACAAACTGCAGAGAAAATTAGCGTTTACAATGATTTAGAGGGGAAATAAATATAACTTAGGAGGTACATATCGAAGAAAAAAAAACCTAATGCTTTTATCTTTACTGCCTTAATATCTGTACTGCAATATCGGAAATCACACACCTAGTTACATGCAATCAGACCACAAACAATATTCCTTGCAAATTTAGCCTTAATATTTTATTGTAATTCATGTATAAGAGTCTGAAGCTTGGTGCAAAACAAAGACGAATAGTGCTTAGACTCAATTGTCATCATGAGGCCATGGATCTACACATGCTAAAAAAATGACTCTGAATCTATTGTACTAGACATTAAATTAATCATTTGGATTCCTCAAATTTTAGAACAAAGATTACCAAATACCAATATTACTCCCCTTTATGTGGCGATAAACACAATGGAAAAGAAATTAAGATGAAACAAGAAGAGGCTAATAAGGAAAACAGAAAGTTGGTGCAAAACAAAGATGAATAGCACTTAGACTCGATTATCATCATGAGGCCATGGATTTTAACCATGCTCAAAAAACGTCTCTATGTCTATTGTACTAGACATTGAATTAATCATTTGGTTTCCTCAAATTTTGGAAACAAAGGTTACCATTACCAAATACCAACATTATCTCCACTTAATGTGGCGATAAACACAATGGAAAAGAAATTAAGGTGAAACAAGAAGAGGCTAATAAGGAAAACATCACTCACCTTTTACTATAGAAGACATGCCACATTTCTCCACAGCTATATTGATTATGGACTAAACCAATAAACTAATTTCAAGTCCAGCATTCAAGAAAGCTCGTGGAGAGATGTCTCACACACCTTGCCATAAAATTCTCCCCATAATTGACTGCCAAGCTCACTTCAAAAAAATTGTGTGCAAAAGCCCTGACACATTTG